TCTGATCCTGTACTACTTGCACATGGTGGGTGCCAAGAGATGTCCTCCAGCCATGCACGACTGTTCGGTCGGATGCTCGCATGATGATGAGTTTAACGGCTTGTCTCAGGTGCCCTCCCTGAGTCAAACATTCATCAGCTACAGTTAGTTTCGTGTCGTAAGTTGCTGATCGAGTGAATGAATGAGTGACATTATTGATTGATTATGGTTGAAACTTTCAAGCTGTGGTTTGATGAAGTTTTAACTGGGCAACTTATTTGGATGGAAAGCAGCATAACATTTGGTTGTTAACTTTCACATTATCATTAGTTACTCCGTCCATCACGTTAATTTTTTCAATTCAATGCTGACAGCAGCTGAGCAGATTGTTGAAGAGACGGCTGTGATTGCTGCGAAGAGGAGGTCAATGAATTCATGCCCTGGGGAGACAGTGAGTTGAGTGAGGGTGGGATTTGATGATGAGTTTGTGAGAGATGTTGAAATTTTTGGCGAGAGTTAAAGTTGGTAATGAGTAATTAACAGCTGGATGAATTGGACGATGATAAGTTACTTAATAGTTGAGGATTTATTTAGATGATATATTTTTGTCAACTTGTCATTTAAAACTACAAAACGCCATCTATCCGTTGTTATCCACCATTGGCAGTTGTGAAGCTGTTTGCACTCCTTCTTTCTTCATTCTCTATTTTCCTGCTACAAAGGTTTGTACATCTGCTCTGTACAATGCCCTGTAGTACGATTTGGTATTCGCCTGCAAGCAAGCATCATATACTTCAGCCAGACATGTATGCCTTTTTAGTGTAACCACTTTATTCTCAAGTAGACAGGGAATCTGTCATACATAAGTCATATTTGATCTAGCTCTACTGATCAAACAAGCAACCAACCGACAGACCAACTGACCAACCAACCGACCGACCGACCGATCAACTGACCAACCAACCGACCAACTGACCAACTAACTTGCAGATTTTATGTCTGGATGGCGGTGGCATTAGAGGCATCATATCGACACGAATCCTCATGCACATTGAAGCCATCACCCGTTCAACCATCTTCAACCTCTTCGACACGATTGCCGGCACGAGTACTGGTGGCATACTCACCATTGGAATCGCCAAGGGTATGCTTCCTGCTACCTTCTGTTTCTTTTTTCAATGTTAATTCATTGAGAGAGTGTTTGTTGACTTAGCCATCGTGATGTACTTACAATTTATTCCTCCACCAATTAGTTCTATTTATTTAATGTTGAAATTGTTTGCATTTATTTCTATCAACCACAATGATCATTTGTTATTTGCAGTTAATCTTATTTTAAATTTAAACGTTTACTCACGGAAAGCAACCATTTGTTAGTTAGTTTGTGCAGTTCTTCAGAGCATGGCCGTTATAAAATGTTAAGAAAGCTATTGTAATGGATGAATTCCCGCGAACTGATGAAGCCAGGTATGAGCCTGCTACAAATAATGGAGATGTACTTCAAGTTCAAAGAGATGATGTTTCACGGGGCACGCCCTTATGACACGGAGAAACTGGAGAAGTATCTGAAGCAGGAATTCGGTGAAAATGTCAGACTGGGAGATCTAGTTGGACCTAAGTTTGTTTTCTTCTCTTCATATTAGGCTTTTCATTTTCTTTCTCATAAACTGCAATTTGCATTGATGTTTATTCACTATTTTAAAATCTGGATCTAATGTCTTTATGTCTTTTTGCGGGTTAGCAAGCTTTCACTCGTTAAGTTTTTTTCATAAGATATCTGCAAGTCGAAATATATCATTCTCAATTTGAATGTTACACACACATTTGTGCTGTCAGTGCTGTCTTGAATCCTAATCTGTGATGTCTGTATGAGTGAACCGGTCGACAGTGATATGAGCGAATACGCGATGTAATGCAACAGGATAATGTTGATGTCGGTGCTGGCAGATAGGATGCCAGCAGAACTGCACATCTTCAAGAATTATGAGATCCCAGGCGCCGGGCACGTTGCGTACCATTCCACCGATAAGAGATTTCCACCGCTGCCTAAACCAAAAGGTCGAGCATTTAAAATTTTGTTTCACTCTGTTTTTTTCATCTTTAAAACTCTACTGCCAATGTTTTGATGATATGTAACGGTACCAGATGAGAGACTGATCAAACTCATATCTTGAGTTCTCTTCTGGGTTTTGTAAACTGCTGCAACTTTACGAACGTATAGTAACACAAGTTTACATCGATGTAACAGACCAATATATCGATGACAATGTTACAGATGAATATGTATGGAAAGCCCTGCGGGCTACCACAGCAGCAACCTCGTACTTCAAAGCCTATGGCAGGTTCATAGATGGTGCTTACATTGCAAACAATCCAACTCTTGACGTACTCACTGAGATGTTTAAACTCATGAAGGCTCATGAAAATAATGAGGTTAATTTTTAAGATCCATTCTTATAATGTTTAAGAACTGTTATTGGAATTTATTATTTTTTATTTTATGATTTGATTTTTATTCTGTCCTCATTTCTTTGGTCATTTTGGTGTTTCAGTTTTAGAGGAACCCGATTCTTATTTGAAATCGGATTCCTCCTACAATATTTTCTCATTGAACCAACCTCAGGACGAAGTTGATAAGGATTGTACCGTCAAGCCAATACACATTGTTGTGTCTGTGGGTACAGGTCTGTAACAGTTGTTACGATGATGTGCCGTTATTAAGATTATGAATGTGAATGATAGATTGGTCGTGCGTTTTAAATCACGTAACATAGGCAAGTTGCCGGTGAAGAAAGTTGAGGTGTGCGACATTCAAATGCCTAGATCCATCTGGGAGCTGCCTAACTTCTTCTCAAACTTCATGAATGTCAGTGAACTGCTCATTGATCAGGTTCGTTTCGCGTTCACATTTTTTCGCTCATATTCACATTTTGTGTCATGAATTCTTCAACTGCAATGGATTTTTTCCCATATTAGAATATTTCGAATATTAGAAGTAATTTTTTGAATAACAACACTCCTTACAAAGTATCAAATAAAATCTCAATAAGAAAACACCAGTATAAGATTGTAACGTCTATATAATTTAATTTATAAACAAAACCAACAAACGAGGTTCTAAGTGCATTTGAAGTGCTAACTATAACCAACTCGTCGTTTATTTCCTCTCCCTCCATTGCCATTCAGACCTTTCAACCAGAGGGCCATATAGTGCACAGGGCAGCAGCATGGTGCGGCATGATTGGCGCTCCCTTCTTTAGACTGAATCCCACCATCAGTCAAATGGTTGAACTGGACTGCAAGGACGATCTCATACTCGTCAACATACTCTGGGAGACTGAATGTTATATCGAGAAGAACAAAGCAGTCCTCGATCAGCTATGCAGGCTTCTAGTTGAAAGCAGACAGATCTGATTGACAAGATTTTATGTGTGATATCTTTGTTTGTTACTTTTTACTGACTGCTTTTTACTGTTCTATGTTTCTACATTGAAATAAATACTATTGGGATAAAAGACTTTGTTGCGAAAATCTTATTTTATTCATGAAATTATTCATCGTAGCAAAGGAGCGTTAAAATTGCGAAAATAATGTCGGTCTTACGTAGGGGTAACTTCATTTTTTGACAACGTTTTTGAATTAACTTTATTGGCTTTATTGATAATTAAATATCGTTATGAAGGCTTTTTATTCCTCTACCTAGTTTATATTAAATATTCATTTAAACATTCCGCTGTGTTTGTTTTTTAGTGGTGTATAAAAATTTCATCAAAGTGTGTTTCTTGTTATATAATATGAATGAAGATATATATAAAAATCACTTCTAACATTAACAAAATAGAAATTTTTTTATACATCTTTCGTGGTTGTTGATTCTGTCCGGAATGTAGTTAGTTCATGGGTAGAAATAAATGTAAAAATAGATTCGTGGTAGCAGCTGTTCATTCACTCTTCATATCGTATCGTATGGTTATTTTTAATGATGCTTCTTTACTAGGTATTCTTAAAAAACAACATGAAATATGAGGTGGCTGTTATAAACACCACAGATTTAGTACACCTCCCTGCACTTTTCCTCTGTTGCACTTATTCTGTGAGTAATATTTTTATTAAAAGTAGCGTTGTTTATAAATTTTTACCAGCGTAGAAACACCCCATCTCAAATAACCATGTTATCATTAGTTGTCGGTTATCCTGGCTTAGTTTTCACGAGAAAAAGCGTAGAAGACTCGTTGAACAAGAAATACACGCGAACCAACCATTGCTTCGAGAACTTTTGTAAAAAAAATTTTAACACGTAAAAACTTTGCATCCTTTGTTAAGGACGCCCGTGCAGAAAGAAAAATTTGTGATGCTAATTTTGGCAGTACGCGCGAGTAAATATTTATATTTTTTGATTATTATATAAATTTAAAATGCAAAAACGGAAAATGTTTGAAATTCTTCACATAACTTTACAATAACAACGATCATTGGAGAAAAAAAAACAGGATCCAACAAATAGACTTGCTATATTTAATATATAACTTCTGAGTGAAATTTAATTTGGGAATGACGAGCAAACGACACGCATCATGTGCATGTTATTTATTTACTCAATGACGGTTCGTTTGATGCCAAAATCGAAGTAACCAGTTGAGAAGAGAAACTTTTGCCGCAGTGTCATGAAACAGTTTGATTTACAAGTTCATTAAAAAATGTTAATAATCGAAATAAATATTTAAATAACAAAACGAACGAGACATTAAAAAACAATTCATTTCTATTTACAAATGAAGTTAAAGTTATTCCAATCAAATTGTAAGCAACAAAACACCAACGTTAAAACAATATGATGGGCCCTGCAAATAAGAAAGTACAAAAATTTAGCATAAATTTATACAATCAGTTATAAATCTGACCGTAACTAAGTTATAAATTGAGATAGTACCAAACATTGCTGGCAACAAATGAACAGTTGGAATAAATTACTTCACACATAAGAATCATTTAAAGTGGGTTGTTGATGCAACTCAATCAAGTTATAGAATCAATCAGACACGGCAAATCAATCAATCAACCAACCGAACGAACGAACGAACAAGCAAACATGTTCAGCAAGAAATTTGTGGAGTTGGTGTTATGTTCAAATGAAGTATTAATCAATTAATTGATTAAATAATTAATTAATTATCGTCAAATTGCATTCTTTTTACGAAATAGGAATGCAAACTGAAAATTATTCCGTAATAGCGACGCATGCACTTGCAATATTTTCGCATTATAATATAGGCACGTGTAACATGTCCTGGCAGCATTCTATTTGCTGATATTTATTCATGTTTCGTCTCTAGCTGAAGAATAACTTCAGCTTACGTTTTGTCTTCTAATACTTTGAACGAGTCAATAGTTTCGAGGGCATGGACAGTTTCATCAAAGTAATCATATAAAAAATAAGCACGAAACAAGCAGGTAATATTGACGAATGTTTGAAATGTTCGGACTGTACCGTACAAACAATCCCACTCGTCGAAAATTGTTCGTGATTCCCAATATGAGAGAGCTAATGGTTTTTACGGAATAAAAAAATTCATTATTTCTAACAATTAGGCACATTTACAAATAAAATAATTAAATTTCATTAAAGTTTTTCAAATTAGATAGACGCATTATCAAAAATGACTCTTGCATGGACAGAAGTTGAACACACGAGGAGCAGAGGAGGGCGTGGAAGATGGTAGTGATGGCGGAAAATCACAATGGAAATAGTTAATTAGCCTATCTTGAGCACTGAAATGCTTGAACCGTTGTAGAATATTTGCAGCCAGTGATTACAATTTGAATTATTTTCAAAGACTGTAACAAAACAATTTTTTTATAATAATTAAAATAATCACAATTCGATACTCAACCTAAATTTGAAAAAAATCTACAGTTAACGTGTAAAAAACATAAAAAATCTTACAAATAAAATGTTAAAATTTGATGATAAGCACGAAAGAGTATCATTTTAATTCCGGCTCAATTAATTTACAACATACGATTTCATTGTCCACAAGCGATAACAATGGAACAATTCTTCTCAACAACTGTCTCATACGCACATACGCATCTCCTTTGAATCCTCTTCACGACACGTCTGAAACCATTTATGAGATTTATCCAAGACTCTCCAAAACAACGTCTCAATGAACTAAAGAAAAACAGTTCAAACAGATGAGGAAGCAATGCAAATATGAAGTACGTTGGCCCATATATATATATATTATATATAATACAAAACTTGATAGTATGAAAGGAAGCGAGAAAGTGCACGATAGTAACGGTAACAACAACAATAACACCGACGACAATCATGAAATCAACCCCAGTCTTATAAAAATATTCACAATTTTGTTTTACAGAGAGAATAAAATAACAAGAACCGTCGCACAGAACAATACAACAAGCAAATATTCAAATATATAAATTCACTTGAAATGAACGATTTCTTACTTAAACGTACATGAAGCTGGTGCGAAAATTGAAATAGCAACAACAAAAAAAAAAAACGATCGCATTGACGGCAGAACAAAATAAAATTAGTTGCAATTTCACTAACTTTCACGGAAAAATCGAAATGAAACCATTCACCAGAAACATACATTTGCAATGAATGAGAAAATAAAAACAAAGTCAACCAAATAATCTTGGCGACCATCATATACATTATCAGTTAAAAAATTATTTACAATACAAAATCCATGAGCCAACATTTTTCCGTAATCATTTCGCATCAACATTATGTTACCAGCTAGTCAGAGGTGTAAAGTTTCTAGCAAGTGTATGACTTGCTTCTTGAAGTGTTTATTATCATTCATAAAAAAAAGAAAGAAAGAAAGCACATGCAGTCTCTTCTCTGTCACAGAACAAATAATGGCAGAACCATGCCAGCAACATGTCAAACATTCCTAATAAAAATGCAACACATTCGACATACAAAAAATGGACATGTCCAGCTATATATATATACATATCTTTCCTGGCAAGTTGTTTCTCCACCAACAATATAAACATGTTTAGACATCAATGAAGTTGCAGTCCAATGTTTGTCTATCTACATTACAAGAGAGATCAAGAAGGTTTAGGCCCATGTCTCGAGACTGAAAAGACGTAGGCGCTAGATAATATTAAGTTAAATTATGAAGAGGACCAGCATTCAACAACATCATTATAAAGTGAATGTGGTTGGTTGAACATTTTTTTATTTTGGAATGAATGATGGCAAGTCGTTAAGAGAGAGAAAGAGGGAGAGAGAGAGAGAGAAGAGAGAGAAAGAGAGAGAGAGAGGGAAGAGAGAGAGAGAGAAGAGAGAGAAAGAGAGAGAGAGAGGGAAGAGAGAGAGAGAAAAAGGGAGAGAACATTCCAGAACATGAATAAGACATGAAAACACGTTTGCTTTGCAGTGATGATTTTTAAAGACTCTCCCAGAGAGCAAGCAGGCATGATGGCAACATTGGCTGGAGATGATGCAGAATCTCACCAAGACCAATAAACAATGAACGACACTTACGACCACACAGACAGACAGACAGAGAGAAAGACAGACAGACAGACAGACAAACAATCAAAAAAATGTATAATGGGTAAATAAATATATAGACAAATTTATTTATAAACAATTCAAATAATCACATAAAAAATATGCTACAATAGAGATAATTCAACAGCGGCATTCAAACAGATGAACGTTCCCGGTAATGATTGCAACAAAAATGAATGAATGAATGAACGAGCTATGAAAAAAAAATATGAGAAACAATGGTTATAGCGATGGCCTAACGATGGTTCATGAATATTTGACTTTGTGGAGATAAAGCTAAAAATAGAGTTTGCACAGCAATCTTTTTTGAAATGATAAGATACCCGGTTTCATACAATATATCTACATTGATACATTTATATCACACATGTTCAACGAAGTAGGGGAGGATATCTTACCATCTACCTATCCATCCATCTATCTATCTAGGTATCTATCCATACATATATCCATACTTTCATCAATCAATCAATCAATCAATCAATCAATCAATCAATCAATCATTCATTCAATCAATCAATCATTCAATCAATCAATCATTCAATCAATCAATCAATCAATCAATCATTCAATCAATCAATCAATCAATCAATCAATCAATCATGATACAGATGATACAGCTTTCAATTGCAGATTACCGTCATTAACATCATTTGTCATGGAGGATTTGTCATCATCGTCGTTATCGTCGTCATCATTCTCATCGTCGTAATCGGCGTCATTACTGTTAATGTGACCATTGTTGTTGTTGCTATCATCTTCATCATCGTCGTTTGCAGTCATATCCGTGTCGCAGTCATTAGCATTGGAGATGTCGTCGTTGTTGTAGTTGTCGTCACTGTTGCTGCTGTTCACTGCGCCAGAGTGTGAGTTGCATTGTGCCAGTAGCGTTGATGAAGATGTCGACGAGGACAACGACGATGAGGATGACAGGTGATTTGATGATAGAGGTCGAGGAGTTGAAAATGTGATTATCTTCGAAGGGTTCTGCTTGGAAGAAAGCACGGATGATAGAATGATTTTTGTTTTCTGAGATGACGATGGAAAGGATGACGACGATGATGACGGTGATGATGTTGCTGAACCTGGAGCATGCAATGATGTCTTGTTATTTGCAGGTGATGTTGTTGCAAGATTCGTAGACGCGGAGGGTTCCTTCAAAATGCTCGAACAGTCTTCGGAATCCAATCTTAAAATATAGGGCACGATGCTGCTGATTTCGACGTTGCCAATCAGTCCGGAGAAAAATATCTGCTCCATGTTGGCTGGCTTGAAGTTGGCGAGCCCGGGCAGACGTAACAAGATGCGATCTGACAGTTGGTGCTGTTCTGATGAGTTGCGAGTGGCAGATATGTGGCTGTCCAACTCCTGCTTCACCTTCAACTGCATGGCCTCCAGGTGGTTTCTGTGACCAGACTGAGCTACGTTGTCTGTGGTTGGTATTTATAAAAATGCGTAATAATCAATGTGAAAACAAACAACATGAATGACATCAGACAAAAAAAAAAAGCCAACAAACAAACACACAAACCAAACAAGCAGACAGACGACCCAGTCTCAGCTAACCTGGACAGAAAAGTACAAACGCCTTCATGTAGGCCAACTCAGCATCAGACAGTTTGAGTCTCTTGATGTGACCGATGTAATCTTGCAGCAACACTACCGTGTTCAATATCTCTCTCACCTTCTCACTCGCTAGTTTTTCTTTGAAAAAGTAAATATAAAACAATATTATATATATTTATATTATATAATTTAATAATAATATTAAATAAAAAATGATAAATAGGTAAATAAATAAATACTGGTGAATAGAACTAATGTGATAGAGTTTAGAAGATTATAAATAAATAAATATTAAAATGTTTATCAGCAGTACGTGGCACCAAAAAATTTGTTTACTCAATTTTTTGTATGCACTGATATGACTAACAATTTCTGAAAAAAAAATGTCGATAGTTCAATTGAAACAAATCAATTAATTAGTGTGAAGAAGAAAAACTTGAAAATATTCCAGACACACATATGTACAGTACACACACACACACACATCACACAGTACACACTCACACGCACGCACACACACCAACTGAGAAACAAATAGCCCACCATTGTTGATGAGTCGGGTTTGTAGATGGATGAGGACAGAGTTGAGTATGGATGGCAGGCTGATGGTATCGTAGCACTGGCAGAGTCCCAGCACAAACAGCTTACTCCAGCACGACTGCACCAACTTCACTTGCAGATCAACACTTCAAGTAATTTTCACGTTTTTAATGTTCAGTTAATAAATAAGGTTAATGTATTGTTGTTGTTTTTTTTAAAGGTAAATATTGTTTCCAATTTTATTATAAGCTAGTAAATAGAGGGAAAAGCAAACAATGATGGTTATAAAAAGAAGGATAGTAACACAGAAATAGAACAACAACAACGCCATCAATAAGACCACCAACACACAACCACAACAACACAATAGCAATAATAATTACAACGATAATAATGTTAATAGCAACAACAACAGACTTCATGGTCTGGAAGGCGGATATACTCCTGGCCCAGTGGATGGAGAGAAAGAGGAGCCTGGATGCAGTCTCACAGATGTAGTGGAGGGTGAGGTGAGGAGGCTGTGGGGAGGGAATGCTCAAGTTGAAGTAGTAATTCACCTCATCAATTACTTGACCTGTGGGTAGGGTTCGTTGACATTTTGGTCCCATCATTATATTTAGCATACGTCAATAATTAATCAATTAATTAATTAATTAATTTATTTATTTATTTATTTTCACCTCCAAAAATAAAATCAAAGGCAAAGGATGACTGTGAGGAGTCAATAGAGACTCATCGGGCACAGTCACCTAAACAAAAATCAATGTTTGTCATTGCTGAAGAAACATAAAATATAAAATGAATATCATCAAGAAAAGAAAATATTTCTGCAATTATATCTTAGTAGACATTAATTTTATCACAAAAATAGTAATTTAAAAAATAATGCCACAATTCTTTGAATACATTCCGGAATATCTTCTAAGCAAATTGTAAAAAAAATGACTCTCTTGATGCAATTATAGAGTAGTACAAAGACAATATGCCTAGGAAACAATTATCTCATGAGGTAGGAGGCATTTATTTTAGATAAGCGATCTATCTAAAAGCCATAAAAGTTAAAAAATGAACTTATCAATTTTTAAAACAAGAAAAAAAAATTACTAAATTAAAAAATTGCGACCTTCTATCTCGACCTCCATGTCCTCGATGTTCAACTGGCGCCCTTCTGCATCCACAATGAAGTGTTTGCCGGAACTCTGGGGCGCAAGGGCAATGGTTATTGTAGTATGACGATGTAATGAATGTGTGTGTGTGTGTGTCTGTGTGTTTGCGAGTATGGGTATCTGTATAAATGTATATGTGTGTGAATGTGTGTGTGTGTGTGTTTGTTTGCGAGTATGGGTATCTGCATAAAAGTATATGTGTGTAAATGTGTGTGTGTGTTTGTTTGCGAGTATGGGTATCTGTATAAATGTATATGTGTGTGAATGTGTGTGTGTGTTTGTTTTCGAGTATGGGTATCTGTATGAATGTATATGTGTGTGTGTGTGTTTGTTTGCGAGTATGGGTATCTTTATAAATGTGTATGTGTGTGTGTGAATGTGTGTGTGTGCGCGCCATTAACAAACAAACAAGTTCTCGATCAAATTGTTTTGTAAAATTTCTCCCCACAACCACACAGCGAAAGCACCAACATCTGATTTCAAATGAAGTGCCCTCGACAGGACATCAAATGCCTTCGTTATGGTTTCCTCCTTCTTCAATTGGAGACTGGCTTCCAATTCACTATCAACATTGTTGTTGTTGTTGCTGCTGCTGTTGTTGGCGCCATTGTTGTTGTTGTTGCTGTTGTTGTGGCCCATTGCAGCTAATGTTGTGACAACATTCGCTAATGTACTGAGATCTGTGAGGGTAAATTAAACGCTAGATACTAATTGATGATTGGCAATTTTATCGAAATGACATTAGTTGAAATGATTTTTTTAATATTAAAATAAAGTGAAATGTAAAGTCTTGTATTACGAAAATTGGTTGGTGTGAGATTCTGTTTATCATAATGGCACGGGAGTAAAAAGTACAATCGACCAACCAACCGACCAACCGACCAACCAACCAACCGACCAACCAACTAACCAATCAACCAACCAACCAGCCAACCAACCAACCGACCAACCAACCAACCAACCAATCAACCAACCAACCAATCAACCAACAAAACAACAAACATAAGGTGTAGCTAGCATGGCACATCACGTCATAAAACAAAGCATAACAAACATTGCATTGAATACGGGGTTGTAACATAAAACTAACCAGCATTGTTTTGTGACGGACTGGAATTGTTTGAACACATCATGAAAGAACTCATGTCGTTCTGTTTATTCGTAAATTTATAAATAAATAAATAAATAATTAAATAAATAAACAATTAAATGTAGTTAGTAACGAAAAATTTCACATCAGCGGTCTTCAACCTCTGATAGATCGTCGCCATCTTTTGGTGTGAAGCCCGATCTTTGGCTGCTGCTGCTGTTGAAGTTGTTGTGTCCAGGGGTCATTGGACCTCTGCCATCGTACGGTTTGCGCTCTTGCTGTACAGCTGATAGGTAGGTGTGTGAATAGTCAGTTAGTTAGCTAGCTGATGTTGATTGGCTGTTGGTTGTGAGTGTTTGGATGTGAGTTAAATGTGATTGGCTGTTGGTTGTGGGTTAAATGTCATTGGATGGTTGTGAGTGGTCAGTCCAATGTATAATTATAACAAATAACAAATAATAATAGCAATAATAAGCAAAGAGGCTAGACAGCGAGAGCCTATTGTTTTAAATCAGCATAGATAATGATGTTTAGGAATATTATTATTATTATGATTATTATTATGATTATTATGATTATTATTATTATAATGATTATTATGAATATTATTATTATTAAAATGATTATGAAGACGATGATTACGGTAGAGTGGCTGTCACAGGCTTGAAGAATAAATATTGCATGTTTCAGAAATAAGACCAAAACTGTTTAAACTGGTCTATTCAATTGTTTAAAAGTTTGAGTTGGAACTGGCTGGTGTGATTTTATTGGTGGAGGTGAGTGAATGAGTGAGTTAGTAAATGTATGAATACTTGAAAAAGCAAAATAAATGAGCAGATGAATGAAAGAATGAATGAATGAATGCACAGATGAATGAATGAATAAGTGAATAAATAAGTGAACGCATGAACAAACGAATGAAAGAATGAAAGAAAAAGGTATCTTACATTCAGTCCTCATGCCTCGTTCAAGACACTTCTGTAGTCGGCAGTACTGGCACCTGAGTCAAACATACAAGTTTTCATCCTCATCATCATCTTCACCAACCTACTTCTCCTTACTATCATCATCACCGAAACCGTAATCATCATCATCGTCGTCGTCGATACCATTACCATCATCATCATGATCACCACCAACATATAATCACAATCATCATTGCTATCATAAATCAAAAGAAAGTGAATAGACCTGTTCCTGTAATGTTTGTTGATGGGGCAGTTCTTCGTGCCCCTGCATGCATAGGCCAGCTGTCGTCTGATGCTCCTCTTGAAGAAGCCCTTGCAACCTTCACAACTCAACACCCCGTAATGTCGACCTAGCGTAGTTCATTCATTCATTCATTTATTCATTCATTTATACATTCATTCAAACATTCATTCATTCATACATTCATTCATCCATTCATTCATTCAATTGATTGATTATATAATTGATTGATTATATTATCAATTGATTAGTTCATTGAATAAATGATAGACTGGTGGATCGATTGAACTTTTTGAATGGTTAATCAGCTAGATGGTTTATTACTTATAGTTAATATTTAATAGTTGATAAATTTTTCATCAATCAATCAATCAAGCATTCATTCATACATTCAATCAATCAATCAATCATTCATTCATTCATTCATACATTCAATCAATCAATCAATCAATCAATCAATCAATCAATCAATCAATCAATCAATCAATCAATCAATCAATCAATCATTCATACATTCAATCAATCGATCAATCAATCAACCAATCAATCAATCAACCAACCAACCAACCAATCAATCAATCTCAACCACTACCTGATGCCTTATCGTCACAGACAACACATTGTTCATGTTTGTCGGTAGCCAGTGGTCTCAGTGGCGCTTGCTGCTGCAGTTCCTGCGACGACGACAAAAGCATCACAATATTATTATAATATGTTAATATATGATAATTACATTATAATATCTTACTTCTTACACAACAAAAACAACAACAACAACAACAACATCGAATACAAAACCACACACCACCACCAACAACAACAACAACCAAAATAACAGCAACAACAGCAACACTTACAGCCAACTAATGTTACAATCTTAATGTAATATACAGACATAACTTATATATTATTGCTCCAATCTAATTATACGGCTAGGATAAACCATAGGTAAAGAGCTGTTGAAATAATGTTTATAGAACGTGTACACATTCACACACACCACACAAACGCACACAAACACACACGTACACAAGCAAAACACACACGCACACAAACAAAACACACATACATACACACATAAACAAACAATGACTAGAGAACATTTTTACATGTTTTGCTCAGAACGATAAAAAATGAATTAAAAACTATAGTGTGGATAAAATGCTGATGGTGATTAAGAGGGTGGTTAATAATGGAGATGGAGATAAACAAGTAGAAAAAAATTCCGTATTCACAGCTATTTTCCCACATACAACTTATTAATGCTCTAAAATTTAGAATGCTGATGAACATTTTGGAGAGAAATAAATGGAAAAAAATTATGAATGGAGATATAAAATGTCGTTTAAAAAGTCCTAAGATGAGACGAAATTATGCACGGAATGGGTGTACAAAATAAATATATTCATTATACAACTGTGTACTCTACACAAATGTACACCAAGTACAATCTACGTACATGATACAAGTATAAGTACAGTGTAATTCTGTACAGTACAAAACTCATGTACACCTACAGTCAAGGATGCAATTAAAATGTCGAGAAGAGCAGATGAAAGGAATCAGATGACTCTTGAATAAAAAAAAACTACAAAATAATAAAAAAAATTCACTAGTGTTTTCACTTCTGGTGGTTTGTATAAAACTAGAAAGAGGTTTTTGTAGTGTAAAATCATTAATTTATTATTCTAAATATATTACCAGGTATACATGTTCATTACACTAAATTAAAATCATATTAAAGAGTAAACACTGTTGTCCCATGCAGCCACCAGCAAGGAAGGTGAGAGCCTCAAAATTTACAAGCACCGAGTGGATGAATTGAATTGAAATGGCATGTTTGAAGCATGATCGAAACAATAAATTAAAAAAAATGAAATAAATAACAATAGACAAATTGAATATAATGATGTCACACTGAAATCGTTGAATGATTTTAAAATAAATGTAAAAATGTAAATGTTAAATTTAAAATTTAATTGTAATTAATTAATTAAATTTAAAATGTAAATTGTAAAAACTATTTAGCTAGATCCGATTCACGAGGCCATAGTTACAGTCACTAGCACAGACACACACACCACACACACACCACACACACACAGATACACACACAGATACACACACACAAACATACATACACCGTACACACACACACACATTGCACATACATTATTTTAATAATTAGGTATATGTACTCACATGGGTACCAATGTGTGTTACATACTGCTAAGACCATCCGCTCATTTGTATAATATTGATTAATAAAGAACCAGAATTTATTTGCTAGGATGCATTTATTATTAAGTTGGTGAGACAGGCAGACAGACAAAGACAGACAGACAAGGACAGACAGAAGATTGAATTCATTCATTCATTGCTCAACTTGTTGGAACATTTAAGATCACCATTATACATTACACCATTATCATCAGTATCATATATGACAACATCACCATTACATCCTATCAATCATCTTCATTTTAACTGAACCCACTAAATTTTTTAAATGTCAAACTGAAACCAACTTTAAT